GTTCTGCCACAAAGGACCACTGTGATGCTTTTTACTGTACTTCTTGAACTTGCTTCTCGGTAAGTTCTTCCATGCATACTTGTATTAGACAGAGTGGTGATGATATTTGGGCCTTGGCTCAGTCTGATCGCTGGAGGCTGAGGGCTGTTTGATGTTGTTTTGACTGGCTCTGCGCCCGTGGATCCGCAGGCCCCTCTTATGTCCAAAGGTATTGTGTTGGCTCTTCTTATGGTTATATTATCAACAGAGGGGGGATGAAAGCTGCGAGTGGACGCCAGCGAACAAAAAGTCAAATATGTCCAAGTATTAAAGTTATCCAGGTGTGAGAGAGCTTGATGAATCTCACTTCTATACATACGGTATACACTTACGTATTTTATTCAATTAGTTGAATTGTAGAACTAAATGGAATCGTATTCTAACAATAAACTATTTGGCTTAACCAAATATTCAGGGTTAACTTAACTTTATTGTTTATACATATACATACAGTACATACAGTAATTGATTGAACTAGAGCGTTATACTTTGCTATTAAAACTGTTCATCTCTTCAAAACACAGTTACAACATTGTCCAGTTTGCAGTATCTAACATGATTTGCTGTTGGTCTTATTTTCCTGGTGCAGATCTTCTCCATACAAGGATTTCTCCTGTGCTCTCCTCGGAGAACAGGATACTTCCGATAATCCACAAAATCTCCAAATCCTGCAGTATTCCAGTGGCCCACATGAGTTGGATGGTATCAGGCAGAAAGGTGGGCTGTTCAATGCCCTTCTTCAGGTGAGCATGTGGGGGGCCCTGGGTGTTGGTGATTGGGGGCCAGTGGTTCGTGGAGGGTCCGCTAAAAGAAGCTGGTGTTTGCGGGAGCAGTGGTCAGCATCTAAACCCGAAGGAAAGCTCATGTTGCTGCCAGCCGACGAAAGTAAACATCTCCCAAACCACGAGTGCTGGCACCAGGTCGGGGCCACCAAGCAGGGCCACGGCCAGAGCAATGAATTACCACTCATACGCGCAGAGAGATCACGGAGGAATCTTGAATAATTTGAGTATAATTAATCAATGCATTGGTATTATATAGAGCTTTTCTGGATACTTCACTTGTCATTATTCTTTCACTCCATACACGGTGGTGATAAACTACAACTGTATCCACAGCAGCTGTGGAGCACAGAAGCGAGGTTACCAGTTTGTATTCAGATTTAATTTATTCGGCTATGTGCATATTTATACAAACATGTACAGTGCCTCTCAAAAATACAAAATGCACTTAAACTTTTGCAGTACGTGCTTGCAATCTCACTCCTGGCCGGTGGGGGTAGACCCGCCTTAAGAATTAATGCTTTTGTATGGCGTCTTCTTTCCTCTCGAAAACGGCTTTAGAGGATGGTCCAAAAGTCGGCTTGTGTGTGTGTCTGAGGGAAGTTTTTTTTGTTTTTGGACCAGCCGTTTAGCCTCTGAGGACTTTTGAAGGCAATTGTTATATCAACGGGGCTCATGTCGGCTAACGTATGCGAAAGTGCGTTTTTTTTCTTCTTCACATTTTCCTGCCCCGCGGCCATTTTGAAACAGCCCACAGAAGTTGTGGCACATTAGTTTTAACAACGGAGATAGACGTGACTACATCCGTTGATATTTACAGTCCATGGTGGTGAAATGTGCTGAAGTCAGTTTATAGAAACTCAAATTGTCCTTGTCTTTCTTATCTGGTTTAGTTCCACTCATGTGTTCCCATCTCCAATGTCCAACGCATCGTGCTATGTTTTTGTCTGTTCTATTCTCCCAGCTCTGGTCCTTTCACTTTTTATGACCTTTTGCTTTTGGTCTGTTCCATGCTCTGCTCTGTCACACATCTGTGGTTATTTATCTGTGATTCTGCTGCTGCAATGTGGTCAACATGTGTCTGGAGCCTTTCCACACAGCTCTCATCAGCAGGCAGGGAAGGCAGACTGGACCAGACCTGCTCTAGTCACTTCCAAACAACTTAGCTTTGACTTGGCTCATGTGAATGCTACAATATTGAAATGCCTTTGTTTCAGGACAGGAGTTGACAAACACATTTAACAACTGGAGTCAGAATGAGTTTTGCAAGTAAATGTGGATCTGTACTTAAGGATTTGCATTAGATCAGACCGAATATGCAGTCCATGGGCTGGAGTTTGCATGTTCAATTTGAATTTCTTTTTTTTTTTTTACATTTTTAATCAAAAATTGAACATAAATACTTTTTGACCCCTGTGTATGTATGTGTATGTATGTGGACATTTACAGTATGATTTTGTTTTTATAAGTCCGTATTTATGTTCATGTGACGCACATATAGCACTTATGAAGATGTCGGAGGATCAAAGTTGAACAAATGCAGGTTCCAGTGCAGACCCAGGTGCAGGTTTATATATTTACACTGAAGTTAAAATCATGCAACGCTCTCCCTGTTCAGAGTTGGTGGGCTGCTTTTATAGCAGATGACAGTAATTAGGCAACAGGTCATTTAGGGACTGGACGGCCCTCAGTAGAGGTCCCCGTACTCCCAGAAAACCCCCCAAAGGACACCACAGTGGAGACCACAGTGAGATAGGTGATAACCAATTAACTAAACTTGATAAAAGTAACTCACAAATGTAAACGTTTCCCATTAACTGTATGGGCGTGTATCAAACTATTCCCCCTATGAATAAAACATGGACACATTTGCTGTAAAGAATAATCTCAATGAAAAACACATGAGGCAGATGATGAATGCAAGATCTTTATATATTTCTGAAGTATTTGCATCGACACAGAACACAATGTACAAAGATACATACAACTTATTACCGGTCCCCTTTTTGAAACAGGATGCCTTCATTTCATGTTTTGCTAGTGCACCATGTACAGATTCATTCAAAAGCTTTAGGAAACTTAAAAAATATATCTGACAAATAAATACTGTACAACACCTTAAACTAAATTTAAACAAGACCATGCTGTTCAACAGAGGACCTTTGCAGCATTTCTGGCTATAGTTTCTCTTCACACTATGTTTAATGACTGCATTATATTTTATGTACATGATAAATAAAGTGCCTTCATTTAGGATGGTTGAATCCATTATGCAAATGTCTAAACATTTACACATGGAAGCAGGATTCCTGAAAGATACGTAACACTGGCATTTGTCTGGACAGACAGGGCTAAAAGTCTTTACGACATCACCAGCTTGTACTTTTTAACAGAACTCTCACACTTCACTATTGTCTTTAAATGTGAATTGCCCTCTCCATCCAGTCAAAGTTATAATATTATTCATATTTCAATGAAAACAAGGCATCATATCTAGTAGTGTAGAATAGCTAATCTCATTCTGTCCCAGTTTGGAGCATATCAAACCGCACAATTCATTTGTAAGCCATAATGATTGGATGTAAAATGTTGATCATTTGAGGACTGTGTTATTGCACCTATTGTTACATAAAATATAGAGTTTAGAATTATATAATTGCGTTTCAGAATTCTATCTTGGAATCCGCGACTGAGCAGGCGGATTGATTCTGGAAACATGTTGAGTGCGTTACACATTCTCTTAGGACTCTTCGATGCAGACCTGTTAAGTCTGGACTATATTGTCAAAGGTTCATTATTTCTCAAATCGTTTAAATCACCATTCTTTTGTTCTGGCTAAAAAGTATTTCTTATAAACTATGGCCTAGGTAAAGTTGACTTTATGGTCGTCGTAGGGAACTGTCCCCTCTACACAATGTCCCATCCTTCCAATACCACTGGGGCTATATGTCTTGTTTTTAGACTACCATGGTTCATTTGGCAGATTTGTGGTCTAAAAGTGTTTAAAGTGTGTTCAGGAGCTACAAAGGCCTATGACATCACCTCAGCTTTGATTAGTTCCAATGTGTCCAGTGTCCAGACTTCAGTCCTAGTCTTGCCCAGTTTAGCAGCTCATTGGAGCAGTAGTATTGGCCAGAGTGTTGACAATGATGATACATACTTTTCTAAAAATGATGTCATAAAAAGAAGCAGGTCTGATTATGTTTGCTTTCAACCCTGTCACTGCAGAAAATAACCGTGATATCTGCTCCCTCACCTCCAAAATGGGACCATACCAACCATCCATGTTTTTCAAAAGCAGTTCATTTTCTGACCCATACGTTTAGGATATGTTTGGATGACACGGCATGTTTTCGTCTAAACTTGTGTGATACTGTCGAGGTAATGAAGACATTTTACTCACAGTCAGTATAATTCCCCTGAGAACGAGACACATCTACGAGCACAAGCTACTCATTGTACAATGTGTTTTCTTACATTTGCACCGTAGAGACTTAGGAGGCTGGATTTACACAGGCACCAATAGTCTGGCTCTTAACTCTTTGGCACCCTGATCAGAGATTTTCCTGGCTGTCAAAATGTAACATGCGTGCGCCAAACATTTGAAATTTAATCTCTTTCTTTCGGTAAAGGCTGCTCAAATCGTCCACGCTAGACAGATGTCCTAAATCCTCGTTTGGACATAACTTTGTTGCATTGTCCTTTCTCTCTCGTAGTGCTGGACTGTGGGTGCATGCGGCATATTTTTGGGTACCCATTTCCACAAATGTTTACTTCATTTAGCAGAAACATTGCACGCTCATGAACTGTATGAGGGCCGTTGGTATGTATACAATAAGAGGCATGGTTTTGAAGGTTAAAGCTGGGGTACCTGACTTTCAAACCACCACCAAATTGTGACTCACAGGGCTATTTCTTACCAGTATGCAATATTTTTTGTTAGTGTTTTCGAATAAGAAGACTTTTGGAAGACCTGTTCTGTTGCGACAAACCACACATATTGTTCATGAAAATAAGTTAGGTACCCTAGCTTTAAGTCATTTACTGTATATTGACCATGCAGCCTTACACCCCCTACTAAAACTGAAGCTCTTTTGTGTCTGTAGTTGATGAGTTTCTGGTGAATGAGCGTGACCTGTGGCCCATGTGCGGAGTGCTGTTTTGGCTGTTGTTTTTCCTTCAATATTCCCGCGCCTCTTCCAGTTCATTCATAAAGACGTTTTCGTGCGGATTTTCTGGACACTTCAGTCCGTTGTTGGGCGGTCTGACAGTGTGAAATCTACTCCAGTCCCCTTTGCACAAGATCCAGGGCAGAACGTCCACTTTGAAGTGCAGGTCAGGGGAGAATTCTGTGCTGATCAGGTTAGGCGTGCCTGCACTTTTGCCCCGCGTGATGAGGCGCCCACGGTCGTCGTAGCAACAGTGCTGCGCCGCCAGAGTGGACAGGTCAGAGGACAGGGCCGAGCGGATGCAGCTGCGTGCGGAGGGCTTGTACACGTCCAGGCGCTCTTTGGGGCCATTGGCGTCTCTCCAGCGGAAGGGCCGGTCCTGAGCGGCGTCGAACACGCTGACCACGGTGTAGGAGACGTCCGCGGGGTACGTGCAAGGGCAGTGGGGCAGCTCCGACTGGGCCAGAGCTGTGTACTGGTGCAGGAAGTCACTCTTACAGCTCAGCCACTTCTCACAGCTGTCCACATCTGAGAACACACATGAAGTTAGAGAGGCTGCCTTTTTTTTTCTCCACTAAATGCAAAATATCTACAACTCTGCTGCCCGACTGCTCCAGAGACTACATCACCCTCATCTACTTGTCCAAACCTTCTACATCAACCCTCCCTCCCAAGACTCACCTGTTCCAAACTGCTCTGCTGTGATCTGTTTATTTTTTTCCTTTTTAACATTTCCAAGAAAGTATAATGGAGCATTATTATTCAAATGTATTTATGATTATCATTACTATGAAGCCTTGGGAGTGGATGAGATCTGTAGAACTCTCTTGGCTGACGTTGGCGTTCAGGGACAGGATCTATGCAGTGATAAAAATGCAAAGCTCTCGGTTTACTGGTCTTCGTTTCCACCCCAACATATGGTCTTAAGCTTTGGGTAATGGCCGAAAGAACGAGATCGTGGACACAAGCGTTCAAAATGTGGTGGTCAGAGATAGTGTGAGGAGCTATTCCTAGCAATGTCCTAGTCTGTGACTTCCTGTTACTGTACTTACATGGCAATACCAAATTATTCTGATTCTGGGTTAATACGAGCTCGAAGTAGAACCACTGCTTCCCCACGTAAAGAGGAGCCAGATAAGGTGGCTTAGGGCATGTCCCACTGGATGGAGACCCCGGAAAAGACCCAGGAAAACTCTCAAAATGTGATTGCTTTCCTAGTTCAGTTCTTGTGCAAACAGATTTTAAAAGCAGATGCTCCTGTGATCTTGTGTTGAGAGCCAGAGCTCCAGTTGCACAAACATGCCAGATAATCAGGCAGGTTTTCACTAAGTCCTTAAGTCCTAAAGTAAATGTAATACAACTTTTCTGTCTCCTTACAGAACCCCTACTACTGTGAATAATCACATTTTACTTATATTATAGAAGGCAGTATAATAGAGCATATACACACCTGTGCCGAATGCTTCTGTGCCATTCTCCATTTCATAAAGGAATGGGTCCACCACAGTAGTGTCCTCCCCTGTAATATCAAAAGTGAAGAGATAAACATTACATTATTGCCATTCACATTAGTCTGTCCTTATTATAATACTGCTAATATCACAATTGTGGCCATCACTGCAAGTATTACTAACACCTACTGCTAATGCATATTTATTCTAAGTGTACCTGAGGGAGGGAGCTAAACCCGGTATATAGGCTACTTCTTCTCCAGTGCAATTTACAAATACGGTTGTGTACTTCAGGTAACATTTTAAAATGGTAAGCTAATAACCTGACTCTGTTCAGTGTTGCTCCCAGTTTAGAGGTGGGCTTGCACCAGATGCAGCCTTCTGACTCAAACAAGGCTTTGGCTAATGTTTGCACCCAAATTGTATTCATGCATGTACTTTTGGCAAATGTAGTCACGCATTATCTTGTTCAATTTGAGCGTTTGACTTCCATGGGCTCAACTGCAGCAGCACAACTCTTTTAAATTAAATTATACATTTATGCACCACGTTTCCTCACATATCAAAAAAACAATCAATGAGTGAGTAGCCATATGCACCCAAATACATACATTTCTATTATAAGCATATGTATTTTCCCTGTGCTCTTAAATGCAATTGCTGGCCTTGTCTCAGTAGTATCTGGTGTACATGCAAGAGTAAACGTAGCATAAATGCTCAGATCCAGTTAAGCCAAACAGACTGGAATTTCTCACCGCAATCGGCACGCACAGGTTTGTATGAGATCAATCAAAATCAGTCTTCACTTGTACTTATTTAACCGTCCCTGTCCTCTTAATCTATCAGATATCTGATGCAGGGTTTAAATACAAATGCTCAGGCAGAAGTCCTCGAGTGTTACCGGGGCAGGGGTCCAGGTCGCAGCGCGCCGCCTCCGTCAGGGTGCAGGAGTACCCACAGGATTTGGTTCTCTTCCTCTCTCCGTGTCCACATGTGACTGAGCACGCAGACCACGGAGTCCACTCCTCCGGCTCCTTCTCTGAACGACACAATGTATGATGTGAGTGTTTGTGGTGAAATTACAAAATTACCTCAGTGTAAATATACAGCACGTTATTACTGGTGATTTTCTGATTACAAGGATTTCAAAGATCAGAAGCAGTGAATTACAGTTACTGGAAATGTAATTTGTGGGCAAACATTTACATGGCTAAATTCCCTGTGCTGTGCCTGCGAAAGGAACATCAAAAGCTAACCTGCAAATGGAGGAAACAAGCTAATGTGAGTGTATATTTCAGAAGCCATCCCTTCAGAATAGAAACTCCCCTCGGACTGCACACAGTATATTTTCTCCAGGCCTGACCTTTCCCATGCAAAGTCATATTCTTAAGTCAAATTAGAGAGGGAGAAACTGCTGCGGCTGTCCGCCTCCGCACCATTCCTTGTGGTGTTAATAACACTCAAAACAAGTGTGCGCTGATTAAAGGCGAGGTGGGTGCACAAATACCAGCCTGGGTCTACACAGCGCTCAATTTGACTTTGTGGGCACTGCCAACTCGCAATGTGACCAAACTGGAAAGATCTCAGGACATTCTTAATTACAGAAGAAGGAGAGGAACACATCTTTGATATATTGTTGCTTGCTGGATGTACACATGTCTATATCGATTCACATGTGTCTCTTTTTACTCATCTGACTTAGCACCGGTTAAATTCAAGGTACGGGCATATTCTAGTTATTATAAATGGGAGCTTATTTCAGGAAATTAATGGATGTACAGTAGCCTGAGTGGAGTATCATATCTTCTGGTTAACTACAGTACATCCTCATTGTCATTCAAAGAGCTAACTGTACTTCGTCTCATTGTTTGTGGTGCTTGGCTCCTGGCGGGCCTCTGTACACAGAGATTCAATAGTGTTTCCCACCAGAGCACAACAAAATCAAACAAAGACAAAATAACTGCAGAAGTTATGCAGAGGTCTGACAGCCTCGACATTCCTGAACTGGCTCAAAAGGCTGTGCCGCAGGCCAGCGAGGGCCGCAAGCTTCACCAGGCTTTGGTTTGGAGCTGGGGGCTCTGCGCTCCAGGATGAAAGAGCCGTCCAATGGCCCTGTCATTCTGTGTTCCCAACATGCTTCTAATTGTCCACAAGAGCAGGACTGTTTTGTTCTAGGAACAGTGCCGCCTCACGTTACCATTAGCGAGGGCACCAGCCTCCTCTTCAAAAGGACCCACTGATAACAGGACGCTCGAGTGCCTCCAGAGCATCCCTGGCACGGCTCACCGTCTCTACTGTTAGAGCACTGGGTCGCAATGTAGACATTATGCATAATCCTTTGGGATAAATTAAGTCAATGAAACCACTCAAATATGAGGCATTTAAACTGGTGAATATAAGTCAAGCTTCACAGACTGGCATCTCATTTTCTGTCAGTGTAACAGGATCTTATGTGCTATAAAGACGGGTGCCAGTTGGCAAAACCTACCATAGTAGCTTTGTATTGGATCCCAGCCTTCGTTCCAATGAGTATCCCAGTCGCTGCCCACTCCGCTGGGCAGGGGCTCCTCACTGCCGTAGTCCAGGGAGTAATCCTCCTCCTCCTCTGGGTCCTGTGTGCTGGAGCGGCTGCTGTTCTCCTCACTGGAGTCGGCGTCAGTGTAGCTCCAGAACAGAGGCCAGAAGAGCTGCTTTCCTCCAGCCAGGTCCAATGTGGAGGAGGCCGACGACGGGGGCAGCCATTCTTTTTCCTTTGCTAAATCCATTTCCAATTCCATCTGCGGGTCGTCCACCACCTCTATAGTCACCTGAAGAGAAACACAAACTTGAAATAAACATGCAGACCTAACTTCACCTCAAATACTTAATAAAGTCAGTGGAACTTGTTTAAAAGTTCTGTCACTTTGTCTACCACTTTAGACACATCAAACTCCCATCTCTGTTCATGTTTTTTTTTTCAATTGAACCTGTTTCCTGGCCAGGCCTGCCAGACATGAGCATGCAGCCAACCAAGTCATCCTGTGAGGAGAGAATGTGAGCCTTCATTCTGGTAAACTGCCTCTCATTACCTCTGTGTGAGTCATCTGAAATCCTACTGTAGTGCTTCGAATGATGTGAAGGCCAGGCGACATTCAAATTGAAAGGAATAAGTGATTCTTGAGACTGTTGTTCAATCCGGGCTTTACAGACTGGCCTGTAGTTTGAATAGACAGGGTTTGTGTCATTATGTCGCCCTGACCACATCCTGATTGCAATGACCAGACTCAGGGAGAATAACTGCCACATGACGTTAAAAAGAACAGCTTTAGAATGATGAATGTAGTGACGAATTGACCAAGATTCTTTGCAGTCAGCCTTCTTTATTAGAGGTGTGTTAAAAATTTATAATCTTAAAAAATATATGTTTTAAATAGTAGTGTTGAATGGTAATCAATTTTCTTTAGTAATCTTGTTTTTTTTTTTTTTATAAATCAGATTACTCTAAAGATATATCTCTTTTTCATTTAAATAAAAATGTAATTTAAGGATATAAAACAAGGATGAAAAGGGGCCAAGAGGTTTTATTTTTTATTAAACCGCATACATTTTTTTTAGTAATATATAGTTTATTATGCATATCAAGATATGTATTGTATTGTATCAGCAGGCTCTGTCAGACACCTGTATTTTTTATGGAAATATTTTGTTATAGATGTAGTTATAACACGGGTTAAAGCTGAAATACTGTATATTTGCCTGAATAACTAACTGCAATCATTGTGATAAGGTGTTGTTACACAAATATGTAGCTGTAATATTATTTGGCCTGATCTAATAGGTCAGCAAGAACATGGTGTGGTCAGGGGGGCTCTAAGGAGGAAATGAATGTATTTACATGCAGTTACGTGAGTGTGTAGATGTGTGTATCTTTTTAATGAGGATACAATATATAAATGTTTTTAAAGCAGTGCACATGTCATAGCTGTAGACCTTTTGTCTCTGCTGCCATGAGTCGATAAACATGGTTTACCCGTTTAATGTCCACTACTTGAAAAAAGTAATGTATTTTTTTCTTTTTGGGGGTTTCTAATATGTCCATCCATCCATCCATCCATTTTCTACCCTTTAATCCATTTCTGGGTCAGGGGGGTGGCAGTGAGAGATGCCAACCAAGTCTCTCATCTTTGGTTTCTAATATGTAGGAGCACTAAATCATTCACCAATTTTGTTTAGTTTTTTTCATTGTTATAGGCCTTTACCAAATGGTTGAGATGCAGCTTGATGGTAAAAGTGCCTAACACCAAGTGAGATGCCCCAAAGAGGTATATTTTGGTTCCAAGCATGATTCATAAAGATATAGTATAGACTCAAAAGGTGATCTACCAAATAGTTTAGGAAAAACTATTTTACTATTCACGATTTTATAGTAATATTTATTGTCCGTTTTGTCGGTTTCAGCCACAGATGGTCATGACACTGGAGGGCTGCATGTTAGAGAAGACGTACTTTGCATACTTGTTGAACTTTTATGGATGTTACCACATTATTCTCACCTCAAAAATACAATATCTGGAACTTCTGGGACAAACAGTACGCACCCTCCCCCCGGCCCCTTCTGTCTAAATGTGTTATTTTCAAACATGCTGTGATGTATCCTCAGACGATGACATTATGGATAACAGCAGAGTTATGCCTCCAATGTTGGGAATTTCTCAAGTTATATTAAAGTCTTTTCAAATAGATCTCATCATAACTTTGTTTTCATGAATACTACATTTTTTTGTTCCAACAGAAAGAGTCTTGCAAAGGTAAAACCATTGTGAACAAATCAGACCATCAAATGCTTTTTTTCATTTTATTAGAAAACATCTTATATTTTGCATATTTGTTTAAAAAAAAGTGCCCTGTGAATTACTCTTTCAAGATATTAGAAAGGAGTTCTCTCTTTTCAACGTTTCTGTCTGAAATAGCTGATCTACAATTGTAACATGGGTCTAAACTACATGCATGTGAATTTTGACAGCCAGAAACCAGATAGGTGGAGGTTTTTGTTTGAAAGTTAGGTACCCCAGCTTTAAGAACCAAATTGAGTAGAGTAAAATGCATATATTCTTTGATCGCACCTGTATGTTGGGGTTTTGGTTGACGTCGGCGGTGGACAGGTCCGGCAGGTTGTGGAGGTCGAGGATGAAGGGCCTGGCCTCCTCTTCGGGCTCCGGCTGAGGGAGCACCCCCACAGAGCGCTGCTGCTGAGACCACCTCCTCAGCGCCCCCTGAGGCTCTGGCAGGGACTGCACCTGGTTGTGCTGCTCCGACTCCTCTGAAGCCAACTGCAGAGCATCGCCGTGGAGGAATTGACCCTGGGGGGAAAACACAAAGGAGAACACTGTCAGTCCGGTCATGAATACGATGATTTGGGAAAATGATGTGCCATCTTGCAATAAGAATAAAATATACTGCTCAAAGCCCTGAATTATGTAACTTTGGCCAGTGATGTCACTTGCTGGTCCAATTTAACTGTTTTCTAAAAAAAACCGACATGTAGATGGGAAAAATAAAGTGATATATAAGTGTTTGGCAAAAAGGAAAAAAAATCAATGAAATGGGGCAACTGTTAATGTAAATTGTGAAAGGGAAAACAAACAACCATACTTATTCTGACACAAACTAAACCAATATTAAGAATCTGAGTCACCTAACTTTCATACCACAAAAAAATTATACAATTTCAAACAATCCTTTAGTTTCCTTTAGTGTCTCAAAACAGTCACACCTTTAGATTACATCTTGTTCAGACAGAAACGCGAAAAGGAGGACCATATCTCTCAGCCAATCAGCTCTCAGTCCAAAGCATCCAACTGTTACCTTTACAAGACTCCAAATCTGTATTGTATTTGTGTATATATATATTTTTTTTTATATATTGCTTTAATACATGACTCTTTTTGTTGACGTCACAGAATCATATAGAATTCCATAGTCCATATGCACAGTGAGATGTATTTGTTATAATGTTGATAAGTCTGGCTCAAAAAAACCCAATTCAAACATAATTATGAATATTCTCAAATGGATTATAAACAAAAATTTATCTTTGAAAAGCTTTCACATTTTAAGTCAAAAAACAGAAATGAATTAACTTTTGAGCGATATTCCAATCTTCCGAGTTTCACCAGTATATTTTGAAGCCCCACTCCCCCATGATCAGCCCTAAAATAAGCACATGTTAATACTGACTCCACCTGCTGAAGCCAGAGGGCTGCACCGCGCACCCAGCTAATGACATCAAGAACTATTAGCGGCCCGCGCATGAGTGGATCAACAATTAGGGCTTTGTTTCATGGAGGAAACTCTGGAAATAGCTCCACTTTTGCAGTTCATGTGCGGAGTCCAAAGAGCCCCTGAGGATTTTGACTATGGCGGAGTAAGTGAGGCGGCCTTAGCTGGTTTTAGTCTTGTTTCCCACAACAGTCCTGACGCCCAGGCCCGGGACAAAGAGCGGCCTGTCCCACAGAGATCCTCTTTTAGCTTAATGAGAGGCCTGCGAGCCGTGCGCTAATGTGTCTGAACCTGCCGTCTCATCACTTCTGCACATTTTTCAACCTTTAACATTACAAAAGAAATTTCAGGATTTGGTTGATTTTGGATTGTGTAGTAAATGAGTGTCATGTGGTGATGGGGGATATAGGGTTGTTGTCAAAATATTGGTTTGAGATTCACTTTTCCATGATTGTTTAAGCCATTATTTATTTGTTTGCGATTTCAGTTAAATATGCATTATACACTTACAGTAAATTTATGCATTTATTTATTTGTCCTTGTCATAATTTATATGATGTGTGTATGTAATATTATCTTTACACACATGAACAAACAGGAAAGAAGACACAAAGTCCTGACCCTCGTTTTGCTGGTTGCCAACACATTTTAGCATTTTTGGCTTTCACCTATAATACCTTTTTAATTGAAAAAATAAGTTGTTTTGATTATTGGGAAGATTTCAGAATCTCTCCTTCAGTTCCGGACACAGAAAGAGGTGTCGGGGGGTGTTACTGGGGGAGCAATTGTACATGTTTTTTTTAGTGGCATAGGGAGACAGGAGCATCCGGAGGAAACAGACACAGAGAAAACATGGAAACTCCACTCAGAAAGAGGTCAGGTGGAATCAGAACCAGCACCATCTTGCCGAAAAGAAAGTATGCTAACCACTCAGCCACCATGCATTTTCTTGTATACAGATGAAACTAATAATACTTTCACAGAAGAACATAGTTAAAATTAGACCATTGTTCAAAATGTATTTCTGTAAATCAACTTAGAGTGTGAAATTAATATAATAAACAAAGCCTCGGCACACAAAGTAACACTTTTAGTTCAGTTTCAAAATATTAAAATTTTCTGAGATTTGGGTTTTTTACGAGCCGTTTTACAGTCAGTTCTCAGTATGTGAAGGATCTGTTGGGACAAACAACATTTATTTATGGATCGATAAAAGTTAAGTTCTCAAACTTTCTTATTCTAATCCTTTAATCGTATCTTCCATGTGCAGATTTGTCTTCAGTCCTTTGGTTATGTCATCATAAACATTAAGGCATACTGTATAAAAAAAACGTAAGAAGTGAAAATGTATTTTAAATGAACTAAAATATTGGAATCTCGCAAAGACAAGACAAATTTAACCACTATAATCCATTCCTCCTTGTCTGAAAATTCTGCATGTCTATTCTACTGTATGTTGGAAACCATAATAATAATATTCATATTTTTTTCTTATTGTTATATTGGTGAAAATACATCTTTGCAAAACAAGTGCCAACACACAATTTTTATAAATCACTATATGATTATAAAGTATAGTTTCTCTGCTTTATGCTTCCATGGCCCCTGGAACAAGCTGTACATTTGTATTTGTCCCATAAAGGCATTATGTGATCTGTGGATACATACGGCTTGTTCAGAGGAAGCCTGTCAACCATGAGAAATATGAGAGTAAGTTGGCCTACATTCACCGGAAACAATGGTGACGAGAACTGAATCTACTGATCAGCAAAATTCAACACTCATTAAAGGGGCAAACTCCAAAGTGGTTTTAATGCATTTTTTGTATCGTAATCACATGTATTTATGTAGGTTTCACTAAACTCCCCCCCCAAGTGCCTCATAATGTAATAATACTTTCACGGAAGAACATAGTTAAAATCTCAAATGAAGTAGATTTTTATTTCACGTCTCCTTTAAAATGATAATCCTGAGGAAAAAAAATACCTGTTAAAACCATTGAATACAACGAAAAATTACCACATTAATACTAGAAACTTGCAATGGCTGAAGCCATTGCGATTGACTGCGGAACAGATCTAATGTGGAAATCTGCTAAAAAAAATCCTTGAAATCCTTTAAAAGGCCTTGAAACTGTTAAAATACTTGATAGATATTTGAAACTCCTGAAGTCCTTGAAATTGTTGAAACCTTTAAACTCCTGAAATCCTTGAAACTGTTGAAACATTGAAACTCCTGAAATCCTTGAAACTTTTTTAAACCTGGAAACTGTTGAAAGTGTGGAAACTCCTGAAATCCTTGAACCTCCTGATATCCTTGAAACTGGTTAAATTCTTAAACAGTTGAAATCCTTGAAACTACTGAATGTATTGAAAGTGTCCTTGAAACTGAAAAATCCCCTCACCGCTGAAACAATTTGGTTCCTGTAACTAAGGAAACCTGGTCTGTGGTCATTATCTGGTGGTGGTCTGAGTCTTCGTTTGGGTCTTGGTCTGGTGGTATAATGCAACCTATTAGGTTGCATTATACTGGGTTTACATGGAAAAATCCCTATTAGGTTGCATTATACTGGTTTACATGGAAAAATCCCTATTAGGTTGCATTATACTGGTTTACATGGAAAAATCCCTATTAAGTTGCATTATACTGGTTTACATGGAAAAATCTCTATTAAGTTGCATTATACTGGTTTACATGGAAAAATCCCTATTAGGTTGCATTATACTGGTTTACATGTACAAATCCCTATTAAGTTGCTTTATACTGGTTTACATGTAAAAAACCCCTATTAGGTTACATTATAGTGGTTTACATGTAAAAATCCTTATTAAGTTGCATTATACTGGTTTACATGTAAAAACCCCTATTAAGTTCCATTATACTGGTTTACATGTAAAAACCCTATTAAGTTGCATTATACTGGTTTACATGAAAAAACCCTATTAAGTTGCATTATACTGGTTTACATGGAAAAATCCCTATTAAGTTGCATAATACTGGTTTACATGGAAAAATCCCCATTAAGTTGCATTATACTGGTTTACATGAAAAAAACCCCATTAAGTTGCATTATACTGGTTTACATGGAAAAATCCCTATTAAGTTGCATTATACTGGTTTACATGGAAAAATCCCTATTAAGTTGCATAATACTGGTTTACATGGAAAAATCCCCATTAAGTTGCATTATACTGGTTTTACATGTAAAAAACCCTATTAAGTTGCATTATACTGGTTTACATGGAAAAATCCCTATTAAGTTGCATTATACTGGTTTACATGAAAAAAACCCTATTAAGTTGCATTATACTGGTTTACATGGAAAAATCCCTATTAAGTTGCATTGTACTGGTTTACATGGAAAAATCCCTATTAAGTTGCATTATACTGGTTTACATGAAAAAAAACCCTATTAAGTTGCATTATACTGGTTTACATGTAAAAACCCCTATTAAGTTGCATTATACTGGTTTACATGGAAAAATCCCTATTAAGTTGCATTATACTGGTTTACATGGAAAAATCCCTATTAAGTTGCATTATACTGGTTTACATGGAAAAATCCCTATTAAGTTGCATTATACTGGTTTACATGGAAAAATCCCTATTAAGTTGCATTATACTGGTTTACATGGAAAAATCCCTATTAAGTTGCATTATACTGGTTTACATGGAAAAATCCCTATTAGGTTGCATTATACTGGTTTACATGTACAAATCCCTATTAAGTTGCTTTATACTGGTTTACATGTAAAAACCCCTATTAGGTTACATTATAGTGGTTTACATGTAAAAATCCTTATTAAGTTGCATTATACTGGTTTACATGTAAAAACCCCTATTAAGTTCCATTATACTGGTTTACATGTAAAAACCCCTATTAAGTTCCATTATACTGGTTTACATGTAAAAACCCTATTAAGTTGCATTATACTGGTTTACATGAAAAAACCCTATTAAGTTGCATTATACTGGTTTACATGGAAAAATCCCTATTAAGTTGCATAATACTGGTTTACATGGAAAAATCCCCATTAAGTTGCATTATACTGGTTTACATGGAAAAATCCCTATTAAGTTG